AAACAGAACCAGTTAAATTGTTATGTAAAAATAAAAGCATTTACATATTATTTTGAAAAATTAAGTACCACCATAAAGTTTTACGACGCAGTAAGTGTATTTGTACATTAATCTTTGAACACTTAAGCATGTGTGCTCAACGAAATTTATTRTTTAGCTACGTGATATTCAAAAAAACATTTTCTTGTGAAAAATTGTGATTAGTTTTAATGAATATACCTTCATTTTATTCATTTGTTCAGCAGAACAGTATTTCACGTGACGTGTTGAATATTCGATCAATCGTTTTTATATAACAATGATCGTTCGGGTTACAAAATTCACCAACGTTAGAAATTCTATGGATTCTAAGTCCCGGCCGATGTATACGTCGTATAATATATATATATATCGATTTAGGAGAACGTATACTAATGTAACTATAATATATGCTTTCAAATTTCAATATATATATTTTTTAAATTATTTTCAGTTTAAATTGTTCCAAAATCACTGCGATTGGTTGGTATTATGGATCTACATCATTCTTGTATACACATACATACATACATATGAAACACACCTTATAGATAATAATACGGTTTGTCTATAATAATACGCTGCATCACCAATAATGCTATCACATAACGTTTTGCATATATAAACCCGTAGTACGTCGCTAATCACCATAATATCCTCCGTAGCCGTGGTTACCGTTCTCGGTTAAGTAAAATTTGAACGGTGYATTTCGGTCATAATATAATAGTTCTGAGATAATGGTCGACGAAGTCCGGGTGTACACATCCCCTCGCATAAATCCCCTGCCTTTCGCGCTAATGCCGACCAAACTGCAACTATATATGATACTTGCGAAACACCATTACGACGTTATCGAAAGCTATTTGACACGATTATAAGAAATTACCGTCTTGATAGTTCCTTTCGCTGTACTGTAGTCTCAAAACGATAATATAATATTCATAAAATATCGGTGGATAAAACATTGTCTGCATAATATTTAAAAAAATATTTAGTTAACGATGTAGTTAACCGTTTTCGATGATTCGTTATYGCCGCTAACGGCAGTCTTAGATCAAAGAGTGAGACACTACACAATAATCTTAAATGTATACAAAATATTGAAAACAAAATAATARTGAAAAAGTATTCACTTGTGAGTAGATTCGCGTAACACTCCACCAGTTATGACATGTCACCTGATACACTTATTGTTTCAATCTAATTGATTCAGTATTTTCTCCCTCATTTAAAGGATTGCAAACAAAGGATGCTCTGTGTGAACAATAATACTCCTCAATTGGTTCAATTTAAATTCAATAATTGGTCACATTTTGCACTACTAAATATATGATATTCTAAAAAATATTTTGTAAATAATTAACTACAACACATATTTGTATAATATCATTACAAGACTAATAAATAATAGTGAAAACGTTATGTACTGTCTGTTTTGAAGTCATTAATTACCACACAAAATTTACTACCACATCGTATCAACGGACARTCCGTTAAATAKATTGACTTCATAATGGCTCAATATTTTCTATATATGTAGAGGAGGAAATAACACTTGATGAAATTATAAATATTATATTTAGGTCTATCGAACTTGAAGACCGTTGAAAGTATGATGAAATGTTCAATATTTATAARTGTTTTGACTTAAATACATAGATAGATAGAATACATTTTTCGTACGTATTTTATCATGATAAAAATATTTTCAGTTTTTCATCTACTGTTTTCAAAACTCATGTAGTCGCGATCCACCTTCCCTCGAAAAACAATCCCAAACAGGCTTCGCCATTGCAGCCTGTTCCGGTGATCATTGTTGCCATACGACTTTTACCTTCAACCCCACCCTTTCACCTCATAAACACCGTCGAATAGCTTCACCACGGGCGCGCCACGCACTCCTTTACTGTCGACAGCGTCCAAACAGAAGCTGACGCGATAGCGCACGAGGCCAGCAGTACCGTTTGCTCTGCGGGCCGAGCGGTTTGCGTTCCATCTCACACCTCGTGGACATATCCGTTGCGAACGACCAAGAACTGCGATCAGTTATGCATAATATGTTTACGTATTGAATTTCATTCGTTCGTGTCGTTGTGAACCGTAGTGTACGATATACTTGTGCGCGTGTTTTCGTTTAATTTTTTGCTATATATTCTCATCGATGATGACATTTTACAGGTATGTGTATTTATTGTTGAGTTTACAACTCATGGATTGTCATGTCATATTTGAATTTGGACTACAAGTAGTAGAGATATGTGCTGTTATAAAATATTATAATAAATGTTGTCGCAGTGATATTACTTGTTTAACCTTTTCGGTCGCACGCTCCAATAACAACCAAAAAAAGATTTTTGGGTTGAAATTACAATTTTTCACATATGGTTAATTGAATTAGTATTTTCACTTAAGGTTTCGAGGCGAACAAACTCATGTAAAGAATCTAACCTAACCTTTAATTTTTTGAGTTATACAAAAAAGTGTTTAAAATTGAGTGTAGTGTTCCATATTTAATAATAATAAATAATTGTTATTTTAGATTCTGAGCGGAGCGATGAATGTATTGATTTTACCATGATGTGTGTTTTTTTTTTTGTGTCTGTCATCACGTTTTGGGACAGTAAAAGTGCTTCGATTTTTGACTTCAGTATCTTATTCGATCAGAAAGTGAATCTAGTTGGTACTTCGGGGGGTCAAAAGTAAAAAATTCTTTACACTTTTATAAATAATCGAGAAAAACAAACTAAAAATTAAGGGAAAAACGGGAAATTTTACTCACAATCAGTTTTCGAGAAAATCGATTTTGGTTTTTGATGTAACTTTAAAACAAATGACCATAGATACATGAAATTGTCACCGAATGTTTATATAGGATTTTCTATCCACCATGTAATTTTCAAAAATTTTTGAATTAAGTTGAACTATTCATAGGTATTTGCAATTTTCGATCATTATTAGTTTTTTTTAAATTAATATCGATAAAAATGTATTTGTTAGGTAGAAAAGCTTGAAAATTTAATACAAGGCTCTAAACATATTGTTACAATAGCAGTTGAAATATAAAAGAAATACATAGTCACAATTTTTGTTTATAAGCATTTAAAGTTCAAATTTTGACTAAATACGTAAAAATTACGACAATTTTCAAATTATTTTATGCTAGAAATTCATAAAAAATGTTCCTTTTATATCTGAGATTTTAAAATTTAATACAAGGCGTCTAACATATTTTTATAATAGCAGTTGAAAAAGAAATACATAGTCACAATTTTTTTTTACTATCATTCAAATTTTAATTTTGACAAGATACGTAAAAATCACGAAAATCAGGAATATTGTCAAATTATTTTAAGCTAGAAATTCAAAAAATTTTTCTTTTTAAATCTAAGATTTGAAAATTTTCAATAATCTATAATATATCCTAGACAGATAAATCGTCTTCGCTCAGAATCGTTTTTCGTATACAATGATATAATATCATTGGATTCAAATTTAATTTCATTCATTACAGTAACCCACTTGTAACCTACTGTACAGCAGAGCGACATCCACTTTCCCGCTTTTTTAAGAATTGCTTATAATTATTTAAAAAAAAAAAATCTCATATAAAAACTAAACTAATAGTAAAATTACAGTAAAAATATAATAGTGATATTGCTATTAAAAATAAAAAAACTTGTTTTATATTTTCTGGTACATTGGTACATATACGAATAATTATTTTAAACCTTTTGCACTGTTCATAGATTGGAGAAATAGATTAAGTTTTTGCATTAAGAATCTTTTTTGATAGATTGTATTCAAGTCGAATACGAATATTATCAAATAGAAAATATATTTTATACTCTTACATATATATTACTCCTAATATGTTATTACTATATTATTTGTTTGTATGTTCACAAAAATAAAATAGTGAATATTAACAATAGTTTATAATAAAAATAATAATAATACTCAATACTCATATAATATTATCCCTAAAAGTAATAATAGCTCTTTAAAGGAGTTTACATTTGTATCAATGTTCTTATCCAGAGGAAATAAAAAAAATAACAATATATATTATTTAATAATATTTTTAATTTATCTAAGGTATAATAAAATTCGAGATACATTATAAGATTAAAAAGGATAAAATAATATTAGATCTTAAGAATCTTAAACAAAAATTTTATTGTACAAAAGAGTGTTATAGTAAGGTATCTTGTTGCAAATACATACATATATATACATATTCAAAGAAGTCATTCTTTTTAAGTTTCATTTTAAGTCTCAGAAATAAGAAATATAATTTTAGAGAATATATCTTTGTTTAATTTACCATAATATTATGTTTCCATTTATGTGTTGGTTACGTTTTATGAATTGTTTGGAATTAAGTTTTCGAGAGTGAATGTTTCATGTTTTTTGATTTTTAAAATTTAGAACTGACCTTTTAAGGTCAATAAAATAAACAAGTATGAATAAATTGTATGAATTATTTAAAGGATAGAATTCTATATGAAAAAACATTTAACAAGTTACAACTATTTCTACCAATTAAATAATTGAATTTTAAATCGTATTTTAAGAATTAATTCGACAAAATAATTAAAATTGGAACCATAGTTATATATCCATGTTAAGCAAGAACTATGTTTATATTTAATTATTGAAATATATTATAATTTATTTTTAATTTAATGTACAAAACRATATAGTTCTCCAAAATTATTTAAATTAAATGTCTAAAGTTCAAAACAGATGAGAAGTTTATAATTTATAATTTATTTACATATTTAGTACCTATTTACCTGAGATATATTACTTTTCACCGCTTTTTACCATTATTTTGTAAACAAAGCACTTTATTATAATAGGACAAGTTGGTACACACTAATCAAATATTTTAAGGAAAACATATTATCTCAATAAAAAAAAAATAAATAAACAATGAATTGCCATCCCATTGCAGTTTTATTCAATTTGTTTCTCCTATTTTTTAATTTCGATAATATTAAAACTTAATTAGGGGTAATGGTTAATAATATACCTAATTTAAAAATTTAAATTGTGATGCCAATTTAAATKAATTACCCTCTACATTTACTTTTTATCTCTGTTCAATTATGTTATAAGTTTAATCAATGTACTTGTTGTAACAGAATAAGATATGCACATTTTTCTTATAAGAATACTTGTTACATGAGTAAGTATACTATAGAAACTCTATTATTGGATTCGTATTATCTAAAATGTTTTAAAAGCAAATAAGAAAACTCAAAGTAACTAATTATCTATGATGTCCATTAAAAATTGTTTTTCATAAATAACATTTCATTTTAAAAACTGACATATTTATGTTTAATAACTTTAAATCTTTGATAATAATTTGGTTTATAAAAAATTATATTAATACTTATTTTGTATTTTAAAAGATTTAAATAAAATACTATTTAACAATATTACATCTCGCTGTTTATAAAATAGCAAAATAACTTTTGTTTCTCACTTAAAAATAATTAAAAATGTATTATTTCATTCTTAATTATTTTACGAGAGTATAAAATTCCATGAAAATACATTAATAAAATGCTTTTAAAGCGCTTTTGATTTAAATTGTATTTGAATAAACACCCAAAGAAGAACTGTGCAGAAATGTACAACTTTCTTGTATATACATCATTAACAGTTGACAGCTGAGAACAAGGTAAAATATTTACAAGTTGCACATTTAGTTCGGTACTAAGGTAATTAAATGCATATTTGAGTTCTTTATCATTTTTTGTAAATAATTAAATATATACCTATTAGAATGGTACATAATACTTTCACGCATTAAACCGATTTATTATATTTAAAAAAATAAGTACAAAAAAATAGAATAATTATTATATTATTATTTATTTTATCATCATATTATATTATATTATTATTTATTTTATCATCATATTATATAATATTATTACATTTATTTTAAAACAATAAATTAGTTATACATTTTATTCTAATAACTTTGAATGAAGTTTTAACGTAAAATATAAATAAATATTTTAAATATTTTAAAACCGAATGATAGCTATTGGAAAAAGTTTTCAAATATTATTTAAACGTAATCATATTACAATGTATAAACATTATACATTGATAAAATAATTGATTTATAAAGTGTTGGTAATGACACATCACACATTTGGTGATTTATCTTGTTATAGGTAGATACTATGCTATCTAAAAATGTATTTACAAAATACAAAAGAATAACTGTAGAACTGATGTATAGTATATTTAGTGTTACGTTAATGGAGAAATGGCTGTAATGTATGTGTTCAATTTGAATTCAATGATACGAATCATTGTACTAAATAAAAATCGACTCTAAACGGAGACGGTCTATATCAATATTTTATGTATTTTATTTTTGTCATAATAATAAGTTCAGTAGGATGCATTCATTGTTTTTGAAAAAATTGCATTTCATAGGCATATGGTATATTATAAAATTAAATTACTAAAGTGGTTATTTTTGTGTTCTTCACTAATAATTATGGCAATTGAGCATATTATATAAATATTTTCAATTTATTTTAATCATTAAGGGAATACTTTTGATAAGTCTCGTGTAAAATTTTTCGATTTTCAGCTTTTAATATCAAGAAAAATAATAATACCTTTATCAGAGGGATGAATCCATGAAATTGTAATACTTCATAACTAATCAAATTTTTTTAATTAGACACTGTAAAAATTTCATGTGGATTTAGTATAAACTTTTTTTAATTTTTTTAGGCACACTGCCACAATGTGCATTTCTTTCAACATTTCTTAGTGTGAAAGAAATCACCATCCTTAATTTTTTTATTATTTATTTATTGGTATTACATGTTTATATATTATATATATATATATATATATATTTTTTTTTTGTTATAACAACGCCATTTCTATGTAGGTATGCCTCCCTAAAAAAGGTCAATTGGTAGTTCTACGCTTCAAGCACGAAAGAAAATGGCAATATGAACTTCAGAAAAACAACTGAGCAGCGAGATGCAAGATTGGAAACCGATATGAAATATATGTGTACATCTACAAAATGATGCATTAGTTGATTTCGCATAAAAATTGTTAGAAAAGGGGAATAATAAATTAGCAATCGATGAATCAACACAATGCATAACATTCCAAACTAATTTCTGTAAAATAACAGCTACAACCAATGAGATAATTGACAATGTTTTCCCAAATCTACCACAAAATTACGGAATTAGTCAGCGGCTTATTGCACGGGCTATATTGGTGTAAATATCAATAACACCATTCTAAACTAAATTCTAGACGACACGCGATAACGTACCAGTCTATCGATACCGTAATTAATCAAAACGAAGTTGTCAATTATCTAACTGAATTCTTAAATTCACTTGATTTGCCAGGCATGCCACGACCGCACGTTCTAACATTGACATTTGGCGTGCCCATCATTCTTTAACGAAACATCAATCCAACACGACTCTGCAACGGTACCAGGCTTTCAGTGAAAAATTTGATAAAAAAACATTATCAAAGCTATAATTTTAAACGAAAAGTTWAARGGGGAAGATGTACTGTTGCCACCCATCCCGATGATTCCATCAGATATGCCTTCTGAATTCAAACGTTTGCAATTTCCGGTACGACTCGCCTTTGCAATGACCATCAACGAAGCACAAGGACAATCGCTACTAGTGTGTGGACTGAATTTGGAAAATCCATGCTTCTAACATTGCTGTATTTGGCATGCTCACGCGTTGGAAAACCTTCTGAATTATTTGTGTWAGCACCAGAAGGAAGAATGAAAAATATTGTGCATCCAAATACATTTCAATAAAATCCATTCAATTGAATACTTGAATTGTAAGAGTTTTCTCGATAAAATGAATGAAATTACATAATAATAAACTAAATTAATTATCAGTGTAAGATTATAACTTAGTATATTTTAACAATTATCTATACATTTAAAAAAATATATACTGCTAGCATGATCACAATTAACGAATTTAACACACAGTTTAAGACATTTAAGAGGAAGGTTTTCAAACGGGATATGAAGTGCACTGGTTTAGCTAGTAGTATATATAAATCCAAAGGTGTCAAAATAATATTTAATTATATTCTGTCTGAAATATGCTAATAAATACATTTATTGAAAATTTCAAGAATCTGTGATTATTTGATTAAAACAAAATTGATTTTGTCATAAATGTAGCATGACATTTTTTTGTAATTTAGTTTTTGACTAGAATTGACAGAAGTATAAAAAGTTATTAATTTTGAACCAAAACCATTTTGGATCATTATTCAAAAATTAAAAATCACCATGAAAAGTCGAAACGTTGTAGATGACTTCCTATTGACGAACAAATTAATAAATTATAACACAACATCATTATAAACCCGATATAATTATCGCTTCGTTTTGAGTCTTAGAGCATCGTAAACTCAATTATATCATAAAATAATATAATTTWAAAAAAAAATTTAGAAACTAGGAAAATTATTATATTATTTTTCAGTTTGTACAATAATTACAAGTCATATAAATAATTTTTTCACTCAAATAAAATATCATTATAAATTTAGTGAATTTTTAGTGAAATATAATTATGTATTTTAATAAAATAAAATAAAATATTTAACTTTCAGTTAATATATATTATAAAATATAAATAATCAAAGATAAAACCCAAACAAATATTTTGGAGCAGATAAACTAGCTAACTCGTCCGTCWTTGTCGGTGCAAACTAAAAAATAATGTAAATTTGTAAAAAAAATTGTATGCAATAGTTTTACTCACTATGATAGTAATAAAATATGTAAACAATTTAAGTAAATAAAATCAGTCAATCAGTCAACTCATTTGAGTATACATACGAGTATATAATTTATACAGACAAACATTTTTTTCCCCAAATAAGAAATAAATGGTATTCATAATAATACAAAATTTTATTTTCATTAATTTCCTGATTTTTAATATTTTTTTTAGTTTCGAGAAAAATTGCGAATTATTTAACACGGCAATGTTATTAAACATGTAACCCGCCGCGCCACGCGCATTACCATACGGCCGGCCAAATACTTTCCGTGTTCCTAATAGTTATAAATTAATTATAATCATATTTTATTTCTTCAAAACTAGAAAAAATATTAAAAACTAGGAAATTAATGAAAATAAAATTTTGACACGTCAATATTTCCAAAAAAATAAACTCAACAAAATAGCAATCCTTAATTTGAAATATTTAAATAAAAAAATATATTTTTTAACTTTATTACCAAAACATTAAAATATGAAATAATTGTAGTTCTTATCCCTGTGAGTCGTATTACAAAACCAGAATTTCGATATCGCCATTATTTCGGGAGATATAGGCATATCGCGATGGGTAAATCCTCACGGGACACCCTGTATTTATTCTTATCATCAAAATTTGATGATCAAATAAAAAAGAATAATGTTATGAAAATTCATACAGAGGTCTTTTCGGGTTGACAAACATATTAAAGTTAAATTACTTCTTAAATGTAGGTACGTATCTAATAATTAAACTTGTTCACCGAATGTCAATGTTTTGATTTAAATATCCTAATATATTAATGAAACATAATATTTGATAAAATTAACCACAATTTTTAGGGTACGTCTTTGTATTCTCGGACAAAAATTTTGCATGTATATTGTACACTACCTAATGAAAGTACAAACAAGATGGTTTCAAACTTTGCTTAAATTGATGTAGGAAACTATTATTAAATTACACATTTTAACCACGGGAATGCCGTAAGATATACCATTCGCTCTTAGTAAGTTATCAGTCAACTTGAACAAAATGTCAATAGTCTTATCCGAACTAACTGACATTTACTTAACCTATATTAAACGTAGGTAAGACAAAAGTATACCGACTAAAATTTATTATTATTATTAAATTTTATTGTTATTTATGTTGAACGAATCGTATGTTTATAACCTCAATATCGTTCATCAATAACGTTTTAGACATGGTTTTTGAAAATCATATTTCAAAAAAGTAGCTTAAAATGTGCACGTTTCATGTCCGTGAGGTTTTATTACGATACATGCTAGAATGTTTAATCTGAATTCCTATCACACTTCACTTAAATTTCTAATACATTCTCATACAACAGCCTCAAACCAAGAATATTTTTGATTAAAATTTTTTACTCAAGTAGAACTCTTGAAATATATCATTTTTCACGGTTAAAACAGTTAATTAAAATTTGTTGATTAAAAAAAATAATAACGTCTTATGAATTATCAAGCCGAGAGTAAAAATGTAAAGTTTCTTTTAATTTTTTAAAATTTAATTTTCAACTTGGTATTTATAAATATCGAAAGTCGTTTATTACCTAGTTAAAACATTATGTTATTATAACGTTTAATGTTAACTGAATATCGTCACAATAATCGGTGATCGATAATCGGGTATAAAAATAAGTTAATAGGTAATAATGTTAAGGATTTTAGATTCCCTAAATTCTGGAATTAATAAAATTTTTATAAAAAAWTTTAATAGTTTAATAGGAGTACCTAGTATGAACAGTAAAGATAATTGAACTTTGAATTTGGAAATCCGCCAGTTGCTTATAACTTATGACTTTATGAGGCTATTTAAAACAGACAAGAAATGTTTTTTTCTTTCTTKTATGAAGTGATAATATGTTTTATACCTAATTTTCTATTGAAAAATCATTGTTTAAAAAAAAAAATCAATATGTTTAAAAACCATTAAAAACAATGGATGTTATAAAATGGCAAGGCTTTTAATAGTATTTGTCTAAATCTAACGTATATGGTTTTTTTACACTTAGATATCGATTTACTGAATATAAGCATCTAAAAAAATGTCTGGAATATTATTGAAACGATTTCAAATCAATCATATTATTCTCATTTATTATTGGCCAACGGGAGTTGTAATTATTTATTTAGGAATGTTATCGATACTAAATCAAATAACTATATTCGTTTGTTTTTTAAACAGGCCAACGTCCGCATCGATGCCATTTTATGGGGGCGATTACCGGCCRGATGACGAGCCGCCACCGGAAGCCGTATTGGAGGAAAAACGCATCTTAGAACACCAATTCCGAAGACCGTCGCCGTCACGGTTGTCATCAACAGCCTCGTCCATTCGACCACCGACCGCTACCAGACAAGGTGGCGGCATCAGTGCCAACAGGTCGCTTCGCGCCAGACCTTCGGGGAGCTCACCCAGGAGGAGTCTACAACGGTCGTCAGCGTTCGGCAACCGGAGATCTACGACGATCACGGATCGTGGACGTACGGCGTCCATGCCTGCCGTGCCGATTGTCAGGGTAAGTCCAGATATGGTATTTCCAGAAGATCATTTTTATTTTTTATTATTGCCGTGAGCAAATTTTTCATTAAATTGACTCATTTAAAGTTTAGATTCTATAATAATTTCTAGCTGAATGATGGACATTTTATGTTTAGCCAAGTATTTTGCTATGGACTATGCAGTCTATGAAATTAAACATGCTTAGTAAATTATGGTTTAAAATTTAAGAGTGGATAGATGGGTTAAGGATGATAAAATAAGAGTGGTTTAAAATATTAAAACTGCGTGTAATTTAAATCTTTTAAAAATAGTATTGACTTTCGAAAGTTTAATAATCACGTGCACTTATACTTCATAAAGAATCACTCTTTTTGTATATTATTTTTAGTAAATATTAGCTGGCGTAACAGAAAATATTTAATAACACATTTTGAAAACAATTGAAATAGCCTATCATTATGATAGATGCTTATTACACTGTTATTATTAATATTATAAATGCTAAGCACATATTGCTCCCTTAAGATTTCCACTTGCAATATAGGGTAAGATTATAATTTTGTCTTCGTCCAATTGCCAGGTATTTTGGTACTATATAATAATAAGTTATAATGACATTCAACCCACCTCTTGTATTACTCTAATCCTACTTGAATCTATGTTTAATAATCTGAAGAARAAAGGTTAAAGGTTATATCAATAAATTATACATTTTTTTTCAAAATTATGTTTAAAAAAGTGTTCTTCAATAACATATTTACAGAGAAAATAATTATTTTGATAAAAAAAAAACCACTGTATATTATGATGAATATACACGTTGAACATAATAACAATAATACACTTTAAGCCTGTAAAGTAGCTGTAGGTATAGCCTCACAGCTTGTATTATACAACAAACTGTTTCATGTATTGTTATGAAAATAATATATGAATTATGGCATATGTTATTCGTTATCAAAATATTTATACTAACATCCTGCTAAAATACATTTTAATGTTTTTTTCCTCAAAAATAAACAAGTATAATATACACATGTATTGTATTTTTATCCATACATTATGGTTTTTGCATCGTTTAGATTACAATAATGATGTGTCATGCGATTACGTACGTCTACGTACGTTCAAATTGATTCTCATTTAATTTATTGTACAATACATAAAATGTGACGAGCATTTTTTTGTACCACGCAAAGTTGCGTGTTTTCATACAAGGTGTGTGCAAGGAAAAATGTTTTAATATATTTATTAAAACGAAAAGTTAAAAAGGAAAAATAACGACATCCGACTTACGTGCCACGAATTACCTGAAAGCTGAAAGAAAGGTTGATAAATGTGTTCAACTAGATGTAGTTGATTTTGATAGAAAACCCCAATAGCAAAGTATACCTGTACATTAGTGCAATATTTTACACAAAACTATTGGAAACGGGTATTATAATAAGACTTAATAAGTTCATGCAACCGACCTTAGGGAAAATAATCCATTACAATTTAATATTATTATTAAATTATGTGTATCGTCTACGAACACATTTTTTTTAAAAATATCCATAATTCAATTTAAATCATATTATACCGGGTTTTAAATTCTGATCGAGGAGACGGGAGAGGAATATTTTTATTTTTATTGTATGGTGACACTTTTTGGTATTTACAGTATAATAAGTCCAACATAAACAAAAAATTATAGTAGAATCTGCCAGTGAATTTTTAGTTGGTAACTTGAGGAGGGGAGGGTCGAATGTTGAAAAAATGTTCAGTTATTTTGTAAATTTATGGAAAAATGGGAATGTTTATGCAAGTTCAGTTTTCAATAAAATTGATTTTGCAGACTTGTTGTAATCGTTATTAAATGAGATATATTTGTGTTCTTCGCTCAAACACATTTTTGTTGTACAATGATTTTATTGCAGAATAAATTTAATTACAATAAAATAAATCCGTACAGTTTATTTTTTGTTATGAGCTCTTGTTTCTTGCAATTTAAACATTTAATTTTACTATCTTAGATTTAAATTAATTTTTACTCCATTCTAATATAATATAAAAATATCTATTGTTATTGGGTTAAGAAATTAAATGTTGGAAATATTATATTATATTTAATATCATATTAAAAGAAATATTGTATTATATAAAATTATATTATTATTAAAAAATAAATAATTTATTATTATAAAATTATATTATATTATTATATTATTATATTATTAAATATTACATTATCAATGTAAATACATAATATAATAAATTGTAATTATATATCTAAATATATATTTATCAATAAATTTAATTTAAATGAACCAAAGATACATAGCATTACCTAATACTTATTTTATTTTCACTTTTCACTAATAATATCACAAACTATCACTTACCAGAATTGAGTTCGCTAGCACTCGAAATTAATTTTTAATCTGAAAATACTAAACATTGTTTACATTTTATGGTGGTAAGCAATGCATTCTTTTGGGTGAATCGTATCAAAAAGTATATTGACAAAAATATTAATTTTAAGATATTTAAATTAAAATAAGTAATCTAGAGGATTAGAAACAATATTTTCGCTTTTCATTATTAATAATAATTATTATTTTCATAAATTACGATATAATAGTGTTAATAATATTTAGATACATCATTCAGTATCTGTAAACAAAAATATCTATAATACATCCATACAAATGAGAAATGGTGAACTTAATAATATTCACATTTAGGTATTTACCAATATCCTTTGACTTAAGTGGATGAAGGTGGTGAAATACTGACATAAGAAACCAGATTGAACTACCCATATGTAACTATTATTAGCAGCTAAATATTATGTAAGGGGTTGTTATTGAATCGTAATATGTTATTATGTGTAATGTATAAAATTGTAAGCATATCAACTTTATACTTGCTTACATTTTGTTGTAAGCAGCTACCATGTGTTTGAAAAATGTGATCGACAGTCTGTTTGGTTGGATATTCTTAAACAATACGTACATAAGTAAATTACGTATTTTAGATGATTGAAAACGTTATGGAATATTTTATTTATTAAAATATATCAGTATAATAATGTGAAGTTCCTAATACGAGAAAGTATAAAATCAAGTTATTTTAAGAGATGGGCTTAAGGTGTAGCAAGACCAGGGAGAAATTTATTTTAGTGAGGTCACAGAATATAATTAATTTTATATAATGCGAGGCCCAAAGTTTCATAGAAATGCATGAGGCCCGAGGAAGAGGTCTCGCTGGCTACTGCCTAAAGACCAGATCTAATTATTATATTTCGTTTCGTAAATATTTTTAAATCTAAAACTAATCCTGTAAAAGATTATAATTTTCGTAAATTGTATTTGAATATTTTGAAAGTACTTAAATGCATACAAATTTTACAAGAAAAACGCCTCAAATAAATTAAACAGTATCGTCGAATAGTTAAATGTAATCATAGTCCTAGTAACGTACAAAACTTAGTGCATTTGTGCGAAATATAATTTAAATTAAAAATTTGGTATGGTCAATAATTGTTAATTGATTCATAACAGAAATAAATATAGGTAGTGTGTAATTTAAATAACGAGTTCTAGAATTTTGTAAGTAATTGTTACCATGGATCCTAGTGAATTGTATGTTTATTATGATGGTTAGTGTAAATAAACACGCTATTTGATCATTAGGTTTAAAAAGAATACAATATAAAATTATTATTAAAGAATTCATATTATATTCATCGTTATATCAAAATTCCGCATGACTTTTAACACTAAAAATGAAATAATTTTAAACATAATACTTAACTTCACACGAAATTTGAAACTCGTATTTTTTATTCGTTGTTTTTTATTGTACGTGAATAATATAAGTATTTTATAWAATATATATTAATATATTGCATTAATTATCAATCAATTTGAAATGAAGGGTTTTTTGTCCGATAATATATGATTGATTATAGATTTTATATTTACTAATAAGTCAAATATATCAAACATATACCTATCATAATTAAACAAATTTAACTCTCTTCTCYCCAGACAAATGTTTATTGAAAATTCAAGATAGTAAACCCTTTCAAGGTTATTTTTGGTATTTAGAAAGAATATTTTAGTTTTTGTTTATTACAATTTTCAATGAGAAGCTTTAGAAGGCAGTTTGAACTATTTATATACAGAGTCTTAATATGTAATTTAATATGTAATATTAAAATATAGTCCAATTTTTTTCACTAACAAATTTTATTTGAATAAATATTTACAAAGAATATAATATTTTAAAGTGTGTGGTACTTGATATACCTATAAAAATAAATAAATATTTAAAAYATTCATTTCATTTCAACTTTTTGTTCAATGACCAAGAAATATACTCCCCGGAAAACAAAATATGTAATATTTTTTATTCATGCATATGCGTGATTCAGTTAAATACAAAATAAAACAAATAATAAAAACATAATTGTTTTAATTTTTAGCTAATTACATTCAGTTTTCATTTAGCTGGTGAATTGTTCTTGTTYGATAAGTATTTGATATAAWTTATTCGAATACATCCAATACAACATTTAAATTTTAGTTTTAATATAATATTTCAATCATGGTGCTAGAGAATTAATTTTTGATTTTCATCAAATTATTATGAAATAAACGAATACTTTAGACTTTACATCATAATATCACTTATAATTGTATGAGTATTATATTAACTGATCCAAGGGCGTTACCAGTAGCAAATTAATTAATTTCAGTGGGCTTACATTGTCTTAAACCCCATTAAACATATTATTTTTTATAATTTTACATATTTGTTACATTAGTTTTGGTAATTTTGACCTGAATTTCAAATTTGATAAAAACTTTTTTGTTTTYTGTAACCAACACACACACACRCATGTCTGTACTTACCCTGTATACAGTTATTCACATTCAAGGATATTATACTGTATAGTGTAGCTTCTGTATTATTAAGCTTTTTCCCTCTTTTCAACATTGGAGAATACTCATATCATTGTTTAAATCT